ATTAATATTCATTCAATAATATTAGTGTATATTTATTCATTAATATTAGTGTAACTATTATGCAGTAAGATGAATAAGAAAATGATGCAAAATATAATTTATTATATTGAACGGGTACATTAGAAACGGTGAAATATCTGTCAACATAAATTTTTTAAAAATGTTAATAATGTTAAATAATGCATCTACTTGTACAGGCACATATACTGGCGCTTATGCTGGAGCAATGGTAACATCTGGTGTTGGAAGCCCTTACGGAGCAACCTCTAGCTTTGGAAGAAAAGATCATCCATTTGATCTCCATAAGCCAACAAATACCCAGACATCACAAAGACCATATGGTGGAACAGATCAAGCATCCTCTAGCACTGATAGTAACTATTATGGCCTAGGAGGTTATAACAAACCTACACCTGGTTCTTATAGTACGCCCACAACTGTAATAAATACTATCGGAACTACTAAAAGACCATATGAAGGAATCGATTCACCTAAAACTGTTCCTGAATTCCAAACTGATCCATTTGCTTCTCGAAAATCACCAGGATCACCAAGCGGTGCTTATGGACATCCGGGTGTTACAAAACCGAGTTATGGAAGTACTACTTCCTGGTTAGGTCAAACTGGAAGTAGTCCTTGGCATGGTACAGGAACTACTCCTCATACTGGATTTCCAACGTTAAATACTGGATTTGAAACAACTAAAACTCCATTTAGTCACGTTAGCACCCCAAGTTCTATGTTATCTGCTCCATACGACAGAACAGGACCGAAACAACCTAACTTTAATATTGCGAGTAGTAGCGCAATTGCAAGTGCTGGTGCAAGTGCGTTTGGAATATCTCCTAGTACATACAACACTCCCAGCATAACTGGGACTACTTCATTGTATGGTACAACACCAGCGTACAGAGGAAGTTCAAGTTATACTCCCGGGGTCAAAGGTTCTATCGGAAGTACTAAACCTGCTTATGGAATTGTTCCCCATGGTACATATCCTAATATCGAAAGTGGTACCTGGCCTGGAGGACAGCCCGGTAGTGGCACTAGACCTTGGTCTAGTGGAAAACCTGGAGATGGAAGTGGAATTACGCCTGGTAGATATTCTCCAGGTATTTTGCCTACCAAGCAACCTCAAGGAAGTGGAACGTGGCCTTCCGGACAACCAGCAAGTGGAAGTGGAGCTTGGCCAGGCCAAGTACAATCTGGACCTGGAAGTGGACCTGAATGCGGACCAGGTAGGAATTGTGGAAGCGCCACTGGTTTGCAAGGAGGTAGTAATTGTGGAGGATGTTGCGGGAATAATTGTAACAGCGATTGTAGTGGAAGAGATAATGTACCAGCACAGGGATTGTGTGGTGGAGTAATAGGTTCTAGTGGTGTTAATAAAACATATTATCCCGCGGGAACTGGCGATGGAAATGTTCCAAATATTGGAGCAGCATATGGACCGGATTCACTTCATAATATCGAAGCTGGTACTAGACCAGTTTATCCTGGAACGCAAGGTAAGAAAAATAAGAGAAAAATAATATTGATAAATTGATTAAATATTTAACTGTTTAGACAGCTGATGTTATTTTACGCATTACTTAAATGATTAAATATTTTAATATTTATCTTTTAAGTAATACGTCAAATAATACAAAAAATATCACATACTAGCTGTTTGATAGTTATAAATGATTAAAGCTAAATTTTAATTTTAATTTTCATTAAAGGTACAAGTATAACATCCGAAAGTCCTGTGCCATGGAATTCAGCAAATCCATTCTTATATGGAGCTGGAAGTATGTGCATTAATAATTGAAAATTTTAATTGAATCTTTATCATTTTTAAATTATTTCTTATTTTTATGGTAAAACAATAGTAGTTCATAACTAAAAAAAATATAAGAAAATTTTTTGTAACAATAAATTTATGTTTAGAAGCAATTAATTACATAAAATAATATATTTAGATTTACTCATCATATGTAAATTATATGAAATATGGTATATCTATATATATATATACATACACTTATTATATGAAATATATATTATGTGATTAAAAATATTCTCAAATATTAATAATTAACGATATTAATTTTTAAAAATTTCAATAATTACATTTTTTTGATCTCTAAAAACATATAACAGTCTGTAAAAATACATATAAACGTTAGTTGTATTTTAATCCATTGTTTAGGTAGTACTCCAAGCAGTATTTCAGATCCTTGGATTGAAAATGCAAATAATAAACCAATTGGTCCAGGAAATCCTTTTCTCGATTCAAGTTGGAATCGTCCTAAGTCTGGATATAGCAACTCATATAATGATAGAAATGTGATTCCTCATAAAGAAAACACAAAGCCTGTTGATCAAAGAAATCTTTTTCTAAATAATAACAATAGAAGAGGAGATAACAGTGCTAATCCTAACGAAGGTGTGAATCCGCTTGAAGAAAAGATACCAAAAGGAAATAATCCTTTCCTTATACCTTTGATAGTTGGAAATGGCGGTTCAGATAGATCATATGGTAAATATCCAGACAGATCAGGAACACCAGGAAGTTTTCCTGGTTCAGGAACACCAGGAAATTATCCTGGATCGGGAACACTAGGAAATTATCCTGGATCGGGAACATCAGGAAATTATCCTGGCTCAGGAACACAAGGAAATTATCCTGGCTCAGAGATATCAGGAAATTATCCTGGCTCAGGGACACCAGGAAATTATCTCGGCTCTGGAACACCAGGAAATTATCCTGGATCGGGAACACCAGGAAGTTTCCCTAGCTCAGGAACACCAGGAAATTATCCCGGATCAAGAACACCAGGAAATTATCCTGGATCAGGAACACCAGGAAGTTATCCTGGATCGAGAAGCAATCCTCAAAGTCCTGATCCAGCACAATGTAAGTTGGGTCTGTTTGGTTGTGGGGCACCCGGTAGTGGAAGCTACGCAGGTGGCAAACACCCAGGAGGAGCATTCGGCGGAAATGTTGAAACCGATACTGGAAATCCAGGAAGCGTTGGCAATGTTCCTGGTGGGAATCCCGGAATTGGGGGATTCGCTGCCGGCGCAGATCATCCAGGATCAGGAGGGAATAATTTAGCGTCGTCCGTTAGCGGTGCTCAAGCGCGAGCTTACGCTGGATCTTTCAGTTCTGCTCAAGCTTCCAGCTCCAGTTTTGCCGGCTCTTTTCCCGGTGCGTCAGGTTTGTTATTTGCAAAAATATGTTTTAATAGACATTCGCAAAATATAATTCTGTGAAAAAAATTTGAAAGTGCGATTTATTTTCAATAGCTGGAAACGTCACGTTTTTAAAATAAAAAATATATAATCAATATTATTCTTAAAATTCATAAAAATTATAATTTAGAACACAATATTTTGCAATTATTTTAAAATTAAAAAGTCTTTTCGAGATATAAGATATGTTATTGACAATGATAAAATGATATTGATCAAATGTACTAGAAACTGCGTTTCTTTATTTATATTAAAATTAAGATTATGATCCGAAAATAAATAGGCAAACGAACGACTGTTTAAAATAGGATAACTAGCGTTGCGTTAACAAGCCACACGATCATTAAGATTAGAACGAGAGTGTATGCCGATTGTAAATCAAGTCAACGATGCGTTCATAATTCCACGGCATTTATATCCCCGCGATGTCAAGTAGATCATACCGATGGAAGTTTTCTCACGGCTAATATCACGCCTTAGCGAGACATTGTAGCAGTATTTTTTGAAACGAAACGAATATATGCGAGATAAGAACGTAATCTCTCTCACAATGAGAAAAATGGCCTCAAGGTCAGCCACGTTTGCATTACGAGAGATTGGAAATACGCGTGTGATTGATGCGTTCCTTCGTACAATGATGCATAAATCAAAGATAGCAGCGTCTTAATTAATAGTAAGCGCCGATTCCAGGTATCCGTTTCCGTTCTTTGAGTACGAAAGCTGTTATACACATATACAATTCGTATTGGCCATAATTAATTTACCATATCAGCAATCATGTTTTTTAATGCATTTCTGTTTATTATAGAATAATAACAATTGTCGGCAGTTTGTAATAATTCAGCTATTTAACAAGATTTGTATGATATTTTACAATATTTGAAATATTTATAAACAAAAGTTAAATTTAATTTAAATTATATTACGATGAGAACAAATTTCATCCAAGATAAAATGTTGTTGATTTTATCAGATAATTTTAAACAAGTTCTTACTTATTTGAGAATATGTGGCTTAAAAGTTCTTAGCACACTAGTATACAAATAAAATGCGAAGATGACAATTGATCTATGTAAAAATCTATTAAACTTTGTATTCACAGAATCTGCCAATAATTTTGGTGGAAATTTGTCTCCTAATGGAGCACAAAATCAAGGCGGACGTAATTCCTGGGCTTCCAGTGGTGCCTCTGCTTTTGCTAGTAGTAGTGCCGGAAGTAAGTTTTCAATAGGATTATTTAAACATGTATTCAGAGAGATGTAATTATTTAACGTAAAAATTGTAGAAAAGAATGTTAAAATATTAAAATATTATTGCAGGTTGGCCAGGAAATCATCCTATCGACGTGAAGGGTTAACAGTTTAATCGAAAGACGAATATTAAAATATAATAAATACAGACGATGACATAATTCTGAAATATATTGTAATATATATTTGACGTCTCGTTACTTAATCATAAAATGCTTAACGTCTGTCATGTAAAGCTTTATGTATAAAGAGATTTTATATTTATTTGACGTATCGTTTATTTATTGTAACCGATACGAGTAGATAAAATTTTTCCTTTGTACATATCTTATTGTTAGTTAACTGATGAAAAAGTAAATAGATTCTCAGAATAACGTGTATAATAATGGTTTACGTCACATGTCCTTATTATCAATTATTTTGATAATTGGCAATGTAATATTCCATTCCATGTTTTTTAACGGACTATAGAGTTATGACTCTATAGTCCGTTAAAAAAACGTTAATTTTGAATATTTTTGCTTTATTGTTTTTTGAATATCTTTGCCTTATTGTTATTTTAAGCAAGATAGATTCCATAATTAAGTCCATAATTAAGTCCTTAAATCAATACAAATAGGAACTCTTAATTTTCCATGACAGTAATATTTGATCTTATTATCTGAGGGAATGGATGATTAATGCATTAAACACCCAGTATATATTAATGAGCGAGCTATTATCCTTAATATTCTTACGACATAGAAGTAATTACAACTCACTGAGAAATGTATAAAAGAACGTTTTTAGTTGTACAGATTCAGTCTTTCTTCTGGACCTCAGTTTCTTCTGTTTACAAGCATCATGAAGATCATCATATTAATTTCTACTCTATTAATATTATTAATTCAACTATCTAACGCACAGTGGGGTCGTAAGTCTTATTATTATTATTTATGTAATGAAAATATTCCTTAAAGAGTACGATCAATGGAAATAATAGCAATACCATGGTGTAATTTTATTATTAATTATTATATCTAATATAGAATAAAATTTAAATTCAACAATAAAATTTATATCTTGGAAACCAATATTTTATTGTTATGGCTATTTTATAAAAGTAGTTTTAATTAACAAAATTTATATTTTAAGATAACTTTTGATTTTCATTGCATTTTATAGAAATAAAATTTTGATTAATAAAATATAATTTATATATAGATATAAGTTACATCATGTGTGAAATTTTATTTTTCTCACGTTTTCTTTGGCATCAATTAAAGATGTTTAATACAGACTTTTAAATTCTTAGATAAAATGAATGACAGAACTGCTTCCAATTTAAGTGTTATGTTATTTATATATCGTTCGAGAACTAACGATTAGTAATTAAAGATATTCATTTAAGTTTTATAATCTAAGTGGTTTTATAACAGTAAATAATTTATGTAATAATTAAATCTTGTAAAATATTTTTAACAAATTTTGAATTTTATATATAATTTAGATGGGATGATGGAATTTTATATATAATTTAGATTTAGGCGCTTTAGATGTTGGCTATGGAAATGAAGGCTATAGAAATTATCCGAATGACAATAAACAAAACTGGAACAGTATGACGCGACAATATCCACCAGGACAATATCCACCAGGACAATATCGCTCATTGGGATAAAGAGATAAGTAAGTTAATGTTTTTTTTTAAACTAAATTAAGTTAAAGTTAATGGCTTATAAAATTAATAAAATTAAATTAAAAGTTGAAGGAATAAAAAATTAACTTAATAAAAGTTAAGATTGAATTAACTTACGTTTAAAAAAAAGTTAATTTTGAAAAAAATTATTTTACTTTAAATAACAGTATATATATATATATATAGATTACTCCAATATAGATTACTAAAATTGTAAAATAAGGCTTTATGAATAAAACAATTTTAATATTAAAGAGCATGAAAAGCCAATACTGGATATTTTAATGAAATTATTATATAATCTTTCGGAATTGAACTAAATTATTTACAAAAGTCTCGACACATTTATCGTTCTATCTTCAGTGTGACAATCAATAATATATATAAGAAATTGACGATAATATAAATTATTGTAAACATTTTATATTTCTCCTAAATTAGTCAGATTTAATTTATCGCTGCCTGATCGCATTGTTTTAATGTGAAATTTTAATCTTCTATTAATCTTTCGTTAAATACTTATGAATTCGCTGCTGGATATGTCTTTATTCAGTTGTTATGTATCCAGCAGCGAATTCAAATATTTAATAAAAGTAGGATAATGGAAAGTTAAAATTACTGTTAATCACTGTTTTACAATAATTTTTCATCTAAGGCTCATATTTCATATTTATATTGCTGAAATATAACGTACGTTTATGATACTTAAAATTAGTGTGATTTAAATATAAGCGAGAATTGACAGAACCTAGCGAACCAATAAAAACTGGCTATCGTATGGTGTGACTTTTATTATACAGTCTCTAATCATAGGATCATTGAACTTTTTCTAAATTAATTCTCTAATATTTAAGATTTTATAGAAAAAAATATTAGTCTTAAGGGGGTATACCCACCTAGACGGTCGAAAAAAAAGCCTATTTTCTGGAATTTTTTTAAGAAAATCTATAGGAGTTATGCAATTAATTTTTTTCCCAAATGATTGTGTACATTTTCGAGAACATTTCAATTTTTTTATTCATGAAAATACAATAGAATGGCTGAATAAATGAGACATCCGCCAAGAGCAGCAAAAAAATGTGGTAGACAGGCCTGTGTCATCTGTAATCATCAGAATCAAAAAATTCAAAAAGAATATTAAACTTGGTATTATAATTTAGTCTTTGACGTACGGATTTTTTTTTAGGTGGCTTCCTTTCTTTTTAATCGGCGAAATAAGATCGTATTTTTACCTAAAAATCGCTTTGTTATATTCAAATTGCCGCCATTTTGTCAAAAAGCCATATTTTCAAAAT